GTCATTGATCATTATCTTCATCAGATTAGCCAAGTCACAGTTAATTGTCATTACTATATTGCTGTTATTGTGTACAAGGTTTTCCTAGTTCTGTTTATTTCACTTTGTATCAGCTCATATAATTCTTCCCAGGTTTTTCTAAAACCATCCTTTTCATTATTTCTTATAGCACAATACTATTACATCACAATCATATATATATATATATAATATATATATATACACACACACACACACACACACACACACACACACCACAAATTGTTCAGGCATTTCTCAGTTGATGAGCATCCCCTCAGTTTCCAGTTCTTTGCTACCACAAAAAGAGTTGCTATAAATATTTTTGCACATATGAGTCCTTTCCCTTTTTCTTTGATCTCTCTGGGAGTAGTGGCTATACTGCCACTATATTATATTCATGGTAACAGTGCATTTTGTTCTGCAGTGACACCATTGGCTCTCACAGTGCTGACTTTCATAGTTCAAGTAATGCCTTCAAAAGAGGGATTGTTGAGATGCATGAACACACAGAAAATTACAAATGTAGGTGAATTTAATTTTTTAAAAAAGGAGAAATATAAAATATCCCATTTGTTTATTTTTAAAATTGAAAATGGGGAAGATAAAACTATATCATAAATCATTAAATAATATTTAAACTTCAGTTCTAAATGACTCCCATTTAACAGAGAATGCTTCCCCAACAATCATATTCCAATGTCTTTTGTATGGAGGTGATCCTGGGTTCCTGAAGACTATGTTATGTTAACATAACATAGTCCTGAAGACTATGATCATATGAAGAATAGTCTAACCCATTTCAGAGGGGCTTGTCATTAGAAGGAGGGGGTGGGAGGTAGGGAGGGTGGGGAGGACAGAAGTACATCTCCTAAGAGTTAAATACTACATTAGTGGAAGGAGTCTCCTAAGACTGTCTACTAAGGGTTGAATACTACATTAGTGAGTGGAGGGAGTACCCTTATTGAAACTAGATCTTTTGAAGATTTTTAAAAAGTGAGTGAAAGAGAAATAAAAGAGTAGAAAAAGGGTTAAATGGATAGCCATATAGAGGGAGAGAAAGATAAGGAAAGAAGAGCAGAGGCATATGAATGTAGTAAAAAGATGTACTCTAGCAGTAAATTTTCATGGTGCTATATTCTGACCTCTTAGCCTCTTGTTTGTGAAAGGCAAAGCTTTAAACTATAGGCATAAATAGAGATGTATTGACATTAATTCATGCTTCAGAGGTTTCTTATTCTGTTGAAAAGAAATTGTCTCAGACCAAGTTGGAAGGAATAATAGTGTTTTGGGGTTTGGGGGGGGTTTTTGGCCTTTTTTTTTTTGTAAGGCAGTTGGGGTTAAGTGACTTGCCCAGGTCACACAGCTAGTAAGTGTCAAGTGTCTGAGGCCGGATTTGAACTCAGGAAAAGTCTGATATACTTGTCCTCTTTCTTCCCACATCTTTTTTTTTTCCTTTTCGTAATTGGGGTTAAGTGACTTGCCCAGAGTCACACAGCTAGTAAGTGTCAAGTATTTGGTCTGAGGTCATATTTGAACTCAGTTCCTCCTGACTTCAGGGCCGGTGTTCTATCCACTGCGCCATCTCGCTGCCCCAGGAAGGAATAATAGTGAAAGAGTCATTAACATTATCCAGTCTAATGCTATCCATAGCCTTCTCTTTCACTTCTAGTTTTCCTGTGATCTAAAGTAAAATACTGTCTATGACTACTTAGTTCTAGCAAAGGCAAGTCCATCAGAGTTGAAAGCAGAGGGAAAGCTAGTAAGCTCTTGGTGTGATTTGATAAGCACCCAAACAAATGAGAGGCAGAACATCTCAATTTGTTTCTTATTTACACGCAGGAACCAAAAATGTTTCTAGAAATTTGGTGAAATTTTGGTGTTTTGCAAAGAACTTTTGTCTTTATTGTGCCTAATAGTGCGTTACATATACTAATAAATGTTGAGTGGATGAATCTGCCTTTGGAGAAATTGTATAAATATATGTCATATTCTGTGCTTCCATTCTCCAGTCACTCTTGCCCTTTCCTGTTGCTTAGGTGTAAGCCTGAAGATACATTTAAAAGACAAGATAGCTCCTGAACTTAGTTTAAGTGATGATCATTTTTTTCAAGTGCCTTTACTTGTTTGTATATTCCTAAGCTTGAGTAGACATCACAGTTCCTTAAACCTGTGTAGTATTCAATTTTGTTTTAGATTTTCAGTAGCCTATTCTTAAGATGTGAAATTCTGATCTGGATTTAGAATTATAAGTAACATTTGGCTATTTTGGTAATTTAATACTTCAAGGATCTATAATTTAATTGGAGTTTGGTACTCCATTTGTTGTAAAACCTTTATAAATGTTCTTTAACTGTTGCTGTGGCCAATGCCTTGATGAGCTTCTCTGAACTGAACTTCATTGGTCTGGTCTTTGGACAAAAGACATACTATCCACAACTAGGTTTGTATCTGAAACTTTCACAGTTTAAGACCTGTCAGAAATCGAGAGTCACCTCCATTCCACTATAAAGCATCAGAGTAAGATTTTGGAGGAAGACCCAGCAAACATGAAAGCAAAATAAATGGCCAGGGAGACTTCCTCTTACTTCTGAAGGGTACTGTTGTCTTAGAATTTGAAGAAATTAAGGCACAAGGCCTAAATATTTTCTCTATTCTCTCCGTAGTCTATTGCAGATTTCTGGTAAACATTACTTTTTCACCCATGTGTAGTCTAATAGTTTCTACTCTAAATTTTGTTTACATGTATGCTAATCTCATTCTTGTCACTACTTGTACATTAACCTTTTAATAATTCTGTAACAATATGTTTTGCCCAAGGAGTACCAAAGATACCCAGCATATAAAAGTCAGCACTTAACCAGAGAACTTTGGGCCAACTATGTCCCAAATTTCCATATCAGCCTTAAAATGGCTTAAGGGCAGTTGTGCACAGCATAAAATAATTTGGGGGTATTGCCATGGCTTGAGAAGAAGGAGTTAGGAGTCGGGGTACTCCATTCTATGTAGAACTTAACTCCATAACAGCACATCAGTTTTTTCAGATCAGAACAGATATTTAATGTTGTGAGACAGATGGCCTTTTCTTTTCCAAAAATTAAATGTTACATATTTGATTCTTAAAATATCAGTTCACTGCTAGTCTTTTGAGAACTCTGCCCAAATAATTTTTGTAACTCTTAAATGATAGGATAAGTTTTTCTTTGGCAATCTAAAGAAAAAGAGAAAAGCTGTGCCTTTTTGTTTAGCTCTTCCCAGTTTGGATCTCTTCTAATTCATCATTAAAATGAGGAGGATGAAACATACAATTGCTAAGATCTGTTTCAACACTGAAATTCTATGATTATTCTCTTCCCGAAATATTTTATTGCATTACATTTGCTTGCCAAAAATGTATTAAGAAATCATTGTTGGTAGTGATTTTGGAAATTTTTAGCTATCCTTAGACCATATCAAATTATTCCATTTTCATTTATTCAGTTTCTTTTCTGATTCAACAATGTATAGCTGGATTCACAGACTGTACTTTGAATTGCTTACTCTTTAAAAAAAAAAAGTAAACAACAAAACACCTTCCTAAACTTGCCTTCTAACATGTACTTTTGATTTTTTTGTTATTACATTTAACAGTGAAGAAAAATGTATGTCGATATTGTTGACAAAAGTTAAATTTTGTCAGGGATTTTTTCTTATGTCTGTCTTTATATCCATTAAAAAGCAGTCATTTGCAAAGTAGGTATTATTTTTTAATATAATATTAGGTATTAAAGGTAACTGTTTTAAGAAGGTAAAAAAATTTCTAAATTATAACTATGCATTAACAAATTAAAAGGTGGCAAAACTTTTAGAACATATGTGTAAATATGTTCAGAATATGTTGGTAATTTTGATTTTCTGACTCTTTTAAGCCAAAGGTTACTAATGAAACTTAGGCAAAAACATCAAAACAAACATTTTTAAATACCTTTCTGATTATTTAAAAGAAAATTAATGATAACATTTAGCTTTTGTATTTAGTGCCACAATACTAACATTTCATATATTTTCTCTTAATTTCTTAAGTTTTTTAATAATTATGTTAAAAGTTAATAAGTTTTGCTAAAAAATGCATGTGCATGCTGTTTTGCTAGTTGATCATCTCTAAACAATAAAATATAGAATAATTATGTTACAGCACAAATATCTACATCCTGTTCAAAGGTAAGTAAACTAATTGACATAAAAAGGAAATCATTTTACAATGATATGGAATGATTGTCATGTTTTGGTCATCTACTTTTTATGACATTCATGATTGGCTAATAGATTATGAGGAAATTTATTATAAAATAATTTTTAAAATCATGATATATTTACATGAGTGGAAAAATAAATTATGTAAGGTATTTGGTATTTACAATACAGACTCTCTTTAACGCTTAAATAACACCAGTGACTAGCAAGTCATGTTTCCCTTCCATGGTGCTTATTTTTGATTATGCAAATTAATTTTTATACTTTTTATCTTATTTTACTATTTTCCATATTTGCTAATGGAAAACATAAATTGTTGACATAAGACCAAAAATGTTACTTAAATCCCCCCGTGAATTTTTACCTTGAATGCACATTCACTTGACACTCTTAGCTCCTCAGGTAGAGATGGGGGATTCTTTATAGTGGTAAGGTTTTTCCTAGCCACCTTTGGTCAAAAAGAAATGCTAGTCCTGCATTGGCAATTTCTACAGATCTTAGGAATAGAAGAATGATGATGAGATTCCCAAGAAAGTTCATTTTTTTCTACCTTTCATTTTCCCTTTTCTGTTTTCTTAATTGAATAATGTGAAGGGTTTGCATCTTATAGTCAAGTACTCTTGTACTTTCTTTTGGAAATAAAATAAAATTAGATCACATTAAGTAGAAATAAACTGTAAATCTTATTGCATACAAAAATTGTATTTCTTCTTTATTAATAATCTTTTTTTCCCCTAAATTTTGTTTAGTTTCTTCTCCAGTTGAAGATGGTGAAAAACAGCACAAACGATCTAGGCCATCAAAAACATCTTCCAAAGAGTGCCTTCTGCAGAACTCTTCCTCAACTAGAGGAGACCAGGAGTCTTTAACTTATAAGGAAAAATTTATTCCTCCTGAGCTTAGTATCTGGGATTATTTCATAGCAAAGGTACCTAATGTGATCATGAAGTATTTGTGTATTAATTTAAAAACAAGACTCCATTTGCTTCTGTCTTTAAATATTTATCAGGACATTTTTTAAATGATAGTTTTTATTATGTAGCATGATTACTTTCTAACCTTTTTATAAAAGCCAATACTTTGATGAATTATGGTTTTAGAGATTGCAAAAGGGAGAGTTTGCACTTTGATACAAAAAAAGGATATAGCGCATATATATTACATAAATGGAGAAAGAAAGGAGAAGGTAGAAGTCATGTCAAGGAAATATAGTGGTTGAAACCTGAAAAGAGAAGAAGACTAATACTAATATATGAAGTTTTCAGAGACCAAGGTTTCAGTAATAGAAGGAAGGAAGGAAGGAAATATGTATTAATTTTATTTTACTGTGTGCCAGGCACTGTGCTAATGGGCATTGTCCTAGGAGAAACGTTGGGTACTTCAGCTTAAGTGTGAAAGCAGTCATTGACTGATTCCTTTGGTCTCTGCAGTTTTTGCTGCTGCCTATTCCCAGAGATACAGGAGTAATGGTATACCATAGACCACCCAGGGAGCACTTGTAAAAGATAATACTTATCTGCTCTAGCATAAGTACCATCAGAGAACCCATCAATCAGTCAGTAAACATTCACTAAGTGCCTCCTATGTGCTAGGTACTATGCTAACACTGGAGATACAGAAGTGGGCAAAAGACAAGTGTTTACCCTCAAGGAGCTCACAATTTAATAGGGGAGGCAACATACAAATATATACAAAACAAGCCACATGCAGCATAAATAGGAAATAATTAACAGAGGGAAGGCATTGGAATTAAGAGGTGATGGGGAACACTTCCTGTAGAAGGTATGATTTTAATTGGGATTTAAAGAAGCCAGGGAGGTCAGTCGTCAGAGCAGGTATAGGAGACAGCCAGAGAATGCCTAGAGCTGAGAGAAGGAGTGTTTTGTTTGTGGAACAGCCAGGAAGGCAGTTGCTGGATCAAAGAGTATTTGTTGGGGATTAAGGTATAAGAAGACTGGAAAGGTAAGTAGGAGGTAGGTTATCAAGGCCTTTGAATGCCAGACAGAGCATTTTGTATTTGCTTCTTGAGGCAATAGGGAGCCACTAAAGTTATTACAGAGCAGGGTAACATGATTGGACCTTTCTTTTAGGAAAATAATTTTAGTGGTTCAGTGGAGGATAGATAGGAGTAGGGAGAGACTTGAGGCAGGCAAACATACCAGTATGCAATAATCAAGGCATGAGTAGATGAAGACCTGTACTAGAGTGGTGACACTGTCAGAGGAAAGAAAGGTTGTATTCAAGAGATGTTGCTAAGATGAAATCAGCAGGCCTTGGCAACAGCTTGGGTATTGGAAAGGGGTGAGAGGCTGTGAAGAGATAGTGATGAATCCAGGATGAATCCTAGGTTGCAAGCCCTGAGGGACTTGGGGAAGATTTAGGGAGAAAGATAATAAATACTGTTTTTGACATATTGAGTTTAAGATATCTCCTGGATATCTGCTTCAAGATGTCTAAAAGGCAGTTGGAAATGCAAGATTGGAGGTCAGCAAAGAAATTGGGGCAGGATAGGTAAATTTGAGAATCATCAGCATAGATGTGGTAATTAAATCCATGGGAGCTGATGAGACCACCAAGAGAAGTATGTAGAGGGAGAAAAGAAGATGGCCCAGGACAGAACCCTGAGGTATATTTTTGGTTAGAGAGCGTGATATGGATGACGATCCAGCAAAGAAAACAGAGAAGGATCAGTCACATATGGAGGAGAACTAGGAGAGAGTGGTATTGAGAGAAGAGAGCATCAAGGAGGAGAAAGTGATGAACATTCTCAAAGGCTGCAGAGACATCAAGGAGAATGAGGATTGAGGAAAGGCCTTTGGATTTGGCAACTAAGAGATTATTATTAGTGACTTTGGAGAGAGCAGTTTCAATTGTAATATTGAGATTGGAAGCCATATTGTAAGAGATTAAGAAGAGAATGAGAAGAGAAAAAGTGGAGATCTCTATTATAGATGAGGTATTTAACTACAAGTGGCAGAGGAGGTATAAAATAATATTGAGGGAGTGGAAGGATCATATGTAAATTGAGGGAGTGGAAGGATCATATGTAAAAGAACCCAGGAACATTTCAGGTCCACTGTGGTCATGTTTTGGAGACAAATGAATTGTTTGGTACACCTCTATGCCAAAGCACAAAGAACAATGGAACAACAAGCATTTATTAAGTGTTTCTTTTATGTGCCAGGCACTATGTACTGATGTTGGCTAGTTTCATGTCACCAGTGGTCTTATACCACTGACCTCTCCATTTCAGTAGGATTCACAGGTGTCTTTCTGCTCCCTCTGTTGCTTGTACCATCCCAGAGTCAGAATGTCCTTTGAATGCTGTCAATAGAAGTGCCTATAGAAATGTTTTTGAATGACATAAAATACAACTGTTTGGATATGTATTTGGATGTCTTGGTTAACATGTTTGGATTATGAATTCTATAAAATTTTATTTTAGCCTTTTTTACCACCTTCCCAAAGTAGAGCAGAATATGATTCAGAAGAGAGTCAGGAAAGTGGTGATGATGAGGATGAGGATGGTGATGAAGATGTTTTAACTTCAGATTATCAACTCCAAGAGCATGCTAATTCAAATTCATACAGGTATAAAATATGTATTTTAAGTTTCTTTGGGACATTTTTGTTTCTAAGGAATTTCAAGTACTTGATCATTTATGTAAGATTTTTAATCTTTACACAACATTATAGGAAAACTAGTTAGTTTATATTTCTGCCTCTACTTTTCAACATCTAGGCCCTCGATTCCTTATAATCTGCCTTTTATCCTCTACTACTCACTCTGTTGAAACTACTCTGCCTAGCCTTTAGAAACTTTTATGGTGTCCCTTTTTACAAAATTAAGAACTTTCTCCTTGATCTTCCTCCAAGATCTTATAATATTGACCATACCCTTTTAATATTCGTTTAATCCTTAGAGATTAAGAATCTCAAATCTGGACTGTTTTCCTTCCTGTCTCATTTTTACTTTGTCTCCATTGGTCCCTCCTTCTACTGCCATCGACTAAATGTGGGCCTTCTCTCAGTGGTGAACTCCTTCATTCCCATAGCTTTAATTATTGTTTCTATGCAAATGATTTATCTATAGGTCCAGACCTGACCTATCCTGAGCTCCATTCTTATGTTTCTGTCTAGTCACTCTATATCTCTACCTATATCAATACCTCAAAATCAACATTTCCCAAATTGAATTTATCTTTCTCCTTATCTTGGGCCCAACTCAAAAATTTGACCTCCCTCTAAGTATCTACTTCGGTGATGTTCCTTGGACAAATTACCATCACTGAGTCTACTTTATGATATCATTATCTCTTGTTTAGTTTCCCTGCTGGTAGTTTCCCTCCTCTCCAGTCTGTTCTTCACCCTGCTCACAGAGCAAACATCTTACTGCATAGGTCTGATTTGCATCTCAGAAACCTGTGGTGGTGCCCCTTATCAAGTTGGAGAAGAGAGAAAAATTTAGGTAAAATGAGGATTATAATTCTTAACATGGTTATTGTGATGATCCAATGAGATAATCCATTTGAAGTACTTTGTAAATTGATTTGTAAAGTCAGAATTTATTTTATTTCCCTATGCATCTTGAAAATCAGTAGGATATTTGATCAACTAATACACCAGTGATATATATGAAAACAGATTAATCCGCCAACAAGGATTTATTAAACCAGATCCTGTGGTGGGTGCTGGGATTCAAAGAGAAAAATGCTCAATGAGCTTAAATAGAGGGGAAGGCTCTAAGTTCTCTAACAGCTCTTTCCTTGACTCCTTATTCAACTGAAACTTTTCTGCAGTTACCAATGGTCTTTTAATTGCATCTTTTCTCAAGTTTTCATCTTTATTGATGTTTCTGCAGCTTTTAACCCTGTTGACCATACTTCGCTCCTCTCTTGGTTGTCCTCAGATTGCTGTCCCTTAATTTTCTTACTACCTTTCTGACTATTCCTCTATCTCCTTCACCAGATCATCACCCACATCACATGCCATAAGTTTGGGTTTGCCCCAAGGTTGTGTCTTGGGCCTTCTTTCCTCTGCATACTTTCTCACTTGATGACTTCATCACCCCGGTGGTTTTAATTTCCTCTCTATGCAGATCTGTATACTCAGCCCTATTTTTTCTCATCAGCTCCAATCTTGCATCTAGTGCTGGTAAATGTTTAACACCTAGCTTCTCCTCCTACCTCCCCCCAATGTACACATGACACACTTCATTAAGACTGTAGAATCAACAGCAGAACAAACTGATTCTAGCACACCCCTACCTACAGCACAACTGCTTTTTGGATATTTTAAACTGGTTGTCTTGTAGGCATCTCAAACTTAATGTGTCCAAAATGAAACTCATTACTTTTACCCTACCAATCCATTCTTCTGAATTTCTCCATTTTTCTTGAAAGTACTACCATCCTTATCATCCAGTCTTATACTTGGCTTTATCCATTACTCTTCATTTTCTCTGTCACCCCATGCATATACTAAGTTGCCAATTCTTGTCATTTCTCCTCCACAATGTCTTTCACGTTCCCTTTTCTTTACCCACACAGCTACACCCCCTGCTTCCCAGTTCAAGGCCTTATCACCTATCAGCTGGACTATCACAAACTCTCTTTCCATCTCAAATCTTTCCTCTCTCCAGTTCATCCTTTACACAGTTACTGAAGTGATTTTCCTAAAACACAGATCTAACCAAGTCATTCATTAAATTCCAATGGCTCCCTATTTTCTCCATGATCAACTATTATTCCATCATTATCTCATTCTTTTTAAATGTCTATATTTTATCTAAGCTTTATAATTATATAATTATTAGTATAACTGTACATTTATATAGTTAATAAATAAGCAGATGTATATTGGGATTACATCAGCAATTTTTTTTAGTGAGTATTCTATCCAGAAATTTTGGAGTCCACTAGACTAGATGACCTTTAATATCCCTTTCAGCTCAAAAATCTAGGATCTATGATCACAGATCATAGAATCATCGAAGAGGGTTGGGTTTTTTTTGTTGGGTTTTTTTTTTTTTTGCCACAGTAGCACATGAAATAGACAAAAATATAAAGCAACCATTATTCTTATGTGGCTATCTTTTGCAGTGATAAGTGGCACAGTGTTGGAGATGAGGGCAAAATGTCTAAGAATCTCACAGTTCTTAGACTCACAAGGAAAGAACATGGACAGAAATTGCAAAGGATAGGAAGTCTATGAAGGGATTCAGATCTGCACCAGTGGAAGGAGTACTCACATCAATGATAAGAGAGATCCATCCATAGACCTTGAGAACAGCTGATCAGTCTAACTTACAGGTTTTTGACCTGGTATCTGAGAAGTCTGAGAATTTGGTTTTTTATATTTTGATGACTGTATTTCGATATAACTGTTTTGCTTTGTAATCCTACGAATTTTTTAAAATCTATTTAAACATTATTCTGAGAAGGGATCCATAGGCTTCACCATACTGAATCTGGGTCTATGACATAAAAAAGATTAAAAAATCCTAGTCTAATCGATTTATTTTTAGATACATTCATTAAGTGCCCTATGTGTAGTACACAAGACACAGCCATACAAAGGCAGAATGAAAAAGAAAATAGTCCCTTCCCTTAAGATCACAAGACATTGATCAAGTTTCACTTACCCCTTTTCTTTCTATACTAAAAAGATCTTTAGTCTTTCTTTTTTGGAATCTGTTTTGTGTCATTAATGATTTTTGTTGCCTTCTAGGAATTCTCAGAAAAATTTCATCTTTAAAATACACTCACAGTGTGATGACCAAAAATGGACATGATATAAGAAAGAATTAAAGTGGTGCAGTGGCCAGAATGTTAAATTTATAGTCAGGGTACTTAGTTTAAAATCCTAACCCTACCACTTACACCAGTGTGATCTTTAACTCATTTAACCTTTCTGAAGATCTTGTTGGTTGTTATCTATAAAATGAGATGGTTGGCTGTGTAAAATTTCCTTCTAGTTCTAAATCTATAATTCTATGATCAGTTCTTGCCTTCTGAACTTTAGTAGAGTTACAGAATTTGGGGCATGCATTTATCCACCCTCTTCATTTTGTAGGTCACAAAATCAAAATGAAATTCTTTAAGTCATATGGGTAACTAGTTGCATTGAATGTTAAAATGGACATTTTGATTTAAAATCAGCCTATGTAAAAAGAGAAGACAAATATTTTTACATTTTAAAATTGTAAAGTGAGTACACCTACAAGCAAAATTTTACATTTTAAAAGCTGTCTGATAAAAAAAAACCTTAAAAAGCAGTAAGAATTAAAACATATTACAAATGTAGGATTGAAAAGATTAAATATAGGTGAAAAACCTTAGATTTATATTTGACAATAATCAGAATTATCAGAATTGCTGTAATTTATTTGAACTTCAGAGACATATCTTTAGCGATTATTGAGAAATGACTGGGATTGTGGATCCAGTGAGACATAGATGGAGAACCAAAACAATGTAGTGTCATGGAAAGAAAATGAGAAAGCCTTCTATACATATATCTTCTTTTTCTTTTTTGTGAAAAACTAAGTATATTTCCCTTCATCCTATCCCACCCCCCCATTTATTCTATTCTCTCTTTTGACCCTGTCCCTCCTCAGAGGTGTTTGCTTCTGATTACCCCCTCCCCCAATCTGCCCTCCCCTCTATCATCCCACTGCTCTCTTATACATATATCTTCTAATGGGAGCTGGCCCCCACATATACAGTTGGAGGGGAGGACCCTTCCTGATGATACTTAGCGTTTTGACAGGAGTGATATATTATTTTCAAGGAATAGCCAAAAATGACAAGGTTAAATTTAATGGTCTCTGAGATCCTTTTCAACCCGAGCTCTATGAACCTAAGCTTTTTTTTCCTCTACATTAGAAAATTTTTTCTGAGTGCAATCAAAAAAACTCATTTCATGATCCATGCCCTGCTAAATTATTCTAATATAAGATATCTAGATGAGGTCTGCAGTAACATGACCGAAAGCTGCTTTTGTGGGTTGACAAAAGAATGTCTTATTCTCTTCCGTATTTATAGGTATAACAAATACCTGCCAGTATATGAACTTAATATTCTGTTTCTTTTATTTATATCCACATTATTTTCTTCTAATATTTGCAAATATAACTGATGTGCAAGGTGCTTTTTAAGCAATATTTTTATTTCCAGAGACACTTAATCTTTCTAATCCAGCACTATAGTAATGAGTAATATTTTATTAGTTTTATGACCTTGAGCTTCAACCTCTAATTCATTTGACTTATTTCCCTTTCTCCTTACTTTTAAATAAAAACATTTCATCAGAGAACCAAGTATTTTACATTTCATTTTTTATTATTGTAATGTCTTCCTTGGGATTTTTTTTTTTTGGTACAGCAACTGTGATTTAACTGATTTAGGGAACTCATGGTGAGGAAATTCCCTCTAATAATGCAGATCATTGACTGTTTTGCAATTTATATAGTCTTAGGGAGTTGCAAAGCTACATAGAAATTAAATGACTTGCTCAAGGTCACATAGCCTCTATGTTTGAGACAGGACTCAAATCTAGGTATTCTTGACTCCAAGGATGGCTCTCTGCCCACTGTGCAATGCTGCCTCTCTCATTCTCTCCTAGTTCACATATTTCTAGTTAATTTATTCTCATCAAGCCTAGTTTAAAACCAATTCATTTTGCTGCTAAAGAAATTCAACCTTCATAGGAAAGGTTGAAAACAAGATAGATGAGAACAGATTAAGATTGAGATGATAAAGTGTTAGAAGGAGCAAGTGGCAGACACTGTTTTAACTAGAAGGAGAAAATCTTATTGATGTATTCTAAAATTATAAATAAATTTATAAATAATTCACTGGTATTATTTCTAGTTGGTCATTGATGCGATTGGCTATGGTGCAGTTGGTGCTGCATAATTTGAAGACTTTCTATCCATTGGCTGGTCATGATCTTTCAGGTAATAAATACTTCAATATCCATTACTATCTTTACTTGAAATGAATAGAGCCTTTGTGCTGAACAAAATAATAGTTTTTCCAATCCATCTTAGCAAACTCTTTAACCATTTGATAAATATTTCAAAGTTTTATGTTGGTATTCAATTCTATGAGTAATCATATTGAGACCTATTTAATTACTTATGAATTCAATTTACAGAAACATTAAATTCTTGTTATATACAAAACACTCTGCAAAGTACTAGAAGAGATGCAGAAATAATTTTGATAGAGACTCTGGAGTTTACAGTCTAGGAGCTAGAAACAACTTTTACAGAAATAACATATGACATAGCTTATGATAAGTACATAAGCACAAATACAGTGTTACTCAAATTTTCCAAGGAAGAAAAGATCATTTTTGACTAGAGAGTTTGTTTTAGAAAAGGAAGAAAACATTTTGGGAGAATAAGAGGGTTAAGTCTTAGAATGTACTTTATGAGTTGTCAGAAGGATATCCAAATAGAGCTAGACAGTGGGCACTGGGAAACATAAATGGAGGGCTAAAGATGAAGATACATCTGGAGATAAAGATTAAGAGGTATTTGTGTAGAACTGGTAATTGAAACTGTGAGAGTGGAAAGTATAAATAGGACCAAAGTCAGAACCTTGGGAACCACGTAAGTAAGGAGACAGAGGAATTAGAGAAGTAGGAGGAAAACCAGCAAAGTATGGCATGAAGAAACTGTGAGAGAGTACAGAATAAATAAGGTTATCAGCGACATGTTGTCTTCTTTGCTTTGGAATTTGTTACTACTTTTAAAAAGTGTGTCTTGGAGCCAGCTGCAAAGTAGCTTGAATTGCCAGCTACCTGGGAAAGCAGTTTATATGGCAATCCAAATGGCTGGGGTCTTCATCGTATTTTGGGAACCAACAGTTCTTACGTAACAATTTTTTTTCCTTGCTCCATTCTCATTATAATTTACTAATAAGTCATAATTTGATTTGATTTGATTCCTTTACTATTGGCTGACCATGCCGTGATCCTAGATTGTCTTTTTGTAGTTTTATAAGACATTTACTTGTTATTTTTGGATACTATAAATATCAAAGATGTACATATTTTAAAACTCTTTGGATATTTCCAAGAGAAGAAGAACATGTATTAATATTTAATGTCAGAAAACCATTTTTAGAGTTGAAGGATTAAAGGGTAACTAGAGCTACTTTATTTTCTATTTAGAGCTTCCAGTTAGCTCACCACTGTGTCATGCAGTTCTAAAAGCTCTTCAGTGCTGGGAACAAGTCCTCCTCCGAAGGCTTGAAATACATGGTGGGCCACCTCAAAATTATATTTCAGTTCATACCTCTGAGGAGAATTTGTCAGCAGGTCCTGCAATTCTTCGCCATAAAGCTTTGCTTGAACCTACAAATACCCCTTTCAAGTACGTGTTTTTATAAATATTGTCTCACTATTTATAAGAATTTTGTAGTTGATCATTGTCATTAGTAAAATATTTGAAGTTCTCTATGCATATGAGGCTACTTTGGTAAGTAACAATGCTTTTTGAAGAAAAAATATTTGTGAATTATTCATTCTTGTGTCTGCCATGTCTGATTTTTCTTCCATTCCATTTTGTGCTCTAAAACTACTGAATTCCTGGGATTACTAGGTATTTTAAAACTTTGTTTAAAAATAAATATTTTCAGACAGCTAGGTTAACACAGTGGATAGAGCACTGCTCTTGGAGTCAAGAAGACCTGAGTTCAAATCTGGCCTCAGACACTAGCTGTGTGACCTTGGACAAGTCACCCCTGTTTGCCTCAGCTTCCTCATCTGTAAAATGAGCTGGAGAAGTAAATGGCAAACCTTTCCAATAACTTTGCCAAAAAAATCCAAAATGGGGTCACGAAGAGCCGGACATGACTGAAAACGATCGAACAACAACAGATATGGTTATGTCCCTTGACATTGATATGTCTGTGATATTATGGATGCATATTTTTATTCTTTAATAGCTTAAATAGTTCCAGAATGTATTTCATGTTGACCATCACAGTCTTTTGAGTTTTCTCTTTGGAAGGATGATAATGCATTTCCTTTAAAGCTGATCAGTTTGTTTGTCTCAATGATATTCCTCCTCTCCCTTCCCCTCCTGCCTCCAACTACATCTCCAGTATATTTAGTGGAAAATAGAGTTCAATTAACATTTAGAAGAAAATCTATGCTAATGTCTTCCTCTGAAATTCTCTTCCATTTACTTTGTATATCTGTACCTAGTTATTTGCCTGTTTTCTAACCATGTAAGTTTTTTGAGGGGAGGGGCAGGTTTTTGCCTTTTTTTTTTCTTATTTTTGTGTCCTTAGAACTTAGCACAATGACTAACTTGGAGTAAGTACTTAATAAATGTCTGTTGACTGACTATGTATTAAGTGTGGTATATTAGTTAACTTTATAATTGATAGAGGAAAGAAGGGCAGTTTATAAATTTATCTGGCATGAACAATAAGAGGCCAGTGTAGGCTACTCTATAGCTCTTTAAAAATGTGGTTGATTTAAACTTTTTTTGTTTTATTTGAAGTTAATATTTAATGATCCTTCAATTTTGTTGCATTTTATTTTGTGCAATTTATTTTGTATAAATTCAGCAGATGGTAGTTATTAATCACTTGTGCTTTTTTGTGTGAACCTGGCACTTGTTATGAGGATTGATGCAAACATCTCTTTACCCCTATTACTCCTTCATAATTTATTTTATATCCTAGCAACCTTGGTAGATATTATGCTGTCCTTACTTAATCTGTAGCTCAATTTCATCAGACCTTGGGAGCAATACTTGTTTTTACTTTCACTGAAGCTAGGAGAATGATTTGTTTTAACAGTGCTTAGGATAGTATAACATCTGCTAACAAATTAATAATCACTTTTTGTTTAATTGTATCTGCCTATCTACAGATCTAAACATCATCTGGCACTGTCTGTGAAGAGACTTTGGCAGTACTTGGTGAAACAGGAAGAAATTCAAGAAACTTTTATCAGAAATATATTTACTAAGAAGAGATGCCTAAATGAGGTAGAATTTAAAATTTATTGGTTTTAATGAAAGTTGTTTTGAGTTGAAGAGTTCCAAGATTTGTTTTAACATTTTGTTTAAAGCAAATTATTCATGGAAAATTAGATTCTAATATGAACAAAGAATATTTAAAATATTAAAGGAAGTGAGGGGAAAGACGAGGTAATCCCAATTTTCGAAACCTTTTGAATATGGAGTGTACAATTTGAGAGGTGTGTCTAGAGAGTTTTTTTGTTTTTATAGAAGGTGTTCCTGACTATATAGCTCTCCAAGGTAAAAGTTTTTTTATTAGGTGGTGTATTTACCTATTAAGAAGTATGCTTCTTGAATTTTTGTAAAAAGATGACTTGATGAGATTTTCAAGTATTTCAGCAGGTGTAATATTTTTTGGATTTTTTTTTTATAAAACACTGCATTGTGTCTTTATCTTCTTAATTAACAAATACTTTTATCTACTTGGCTTATTTATATCTCTTGTTCCTTGTCTTATATTTTGATGATTCTGTGTTTGCCACTTTTGATCCTGAAGGTTTCATGAGTATAATCATTATTGGTTACCTGCGTTTTCCTTAGTGTTAAATTATTATTCTAAAATAGTGTACTTGAGAAATGAAAGGATACAGTGGTTTTGGAAATAGAGATGAAAATTACTGAACAGTTACAATTGAATTCAACATTTTCTTAAGCACTCTGTGAAAGGCAGATGAAAGAAAGCTCAGAAAGCAATTGAACTGAAATGAATCAGAGTAGCAAACATGGGTAGGATGCATATTTTTATACATTAAAATTCTGCTTGTGTTTTACCTCAGTTTTCCATAGAAAGGGACATATTTTCACGGTTATGTGGACTATATAAACATGTGTTTATTTTATTACTCAAATAATTTTCATGCAGAAATATTGGGAATATATTAAGGTATTTTGTGGGAAATACTATTATTGCTGTTTCATTTTGCTTGTTTGCTTGAAAAACAGAGTAGATAATTATTTCATCTTATTTCTCATGGTTCTGGTACCTTAGTCGATCTTAATCCATATATCTTCTTTTTGTTCCTAAGGATACAAGATTCCCTTCCCAACCAAGGGATGGGGTATATACATTGTAAATTTAGTATGTAAAGGTAAATTTGGAAGTATTTGAGTCCCATGTAAATTACTTCAGATTCTTTTGTCTTCAAAGCTTTTCCTTTTCAGTAATTTTTTATTTCTTCCAAAAACATTAGAGAGAGATTCTCAATAACAACCTATAATCATCATTTAAACAATTAGAATATACCTCTAAATCAACCACAGACAGTAGAAAGCCAGAGAAGCACCAGAGAGAAGTCATTGATGAGTCAAAACTTTCTTCATCAGAGTTTACTGTATATGTAAATACTCCAAATTAGATTGCTTATGAAGCAATATTACTAGAAATAAAATCTAACAGTATATAAGCAAACTACTAATATGTCCAGATGATATGCCTTCAAAACTGATGCCTCTTAATTTCTCCTGTTCTTTAAAATGCATAGGTTCTTAACTTTGTGTCATGGACCCTTTTGGCAGTCAGCAGATTCCTCTGTATCCCTTCTCAGAATAATGGTTCTAAATGCATACAATAAAATAGGATTACAAAGAAAACCAATTATGTTGAAATATACTGATCAAAATATTAAGAAAACAAATTCACAGACTCCAGGTTAAGAATCTTTTCTCTAATGTGATATTAACATCAGGCTTAATTAAATGAATGAAATAATTTGAGATGTAAAATAATTGTTTTTAATGAGAGATTTTTCAGTTTTGAAGGATTTTTTAATGACACTAAGTAAATATTTTTAGTGGTAACTAGTTGGCAGTGGGTACAAATTTTTCTGCTTTGGTAAAATTAACTTAGATTTAAAAATACTCCCAGTAATCTTGCATGTTCCATCTTATCTTTACTCTGTCATGTGGTTATCTTTTTTTTTGATGAAGTCATTAGAGGACCACAGTGAAACCATCAAAAATTCTATAATGGAGGAGCCAAACTTCAACAAGGTACAAAATAATGTTCAGCTGAAATTTAAAATTTCATTCATCAATGAGATTCTTTACTTTTTTTTCCTTTTCTTTTTCTTTTCTTTTCTTTGTTTTTTGGTTTTTTTGGTGCCACAGACTACTGCTCAGAAAACTATTGACCCATTAAACTTGAGTATTGCATTGCTAATCAGTTTAATGGGTTTTTTAAAAGATTTGATTTGTTTGTCTTGTTAAATAAGAAAATTAAATCTTTTTTTTTCTTCTTTTTTTGGGGGGTTAGGGGCAAGGCAGTCAGGGTTAAGTGACTTGCCTAGGTTCACAAAGCTAGAGAATTCAGTCTTAAAGGAAGTTCAATACATCCTGTTTTATGGCTACAGATTTTTCTAGTATAGGCCTCACTATAACTATAACTAAGTAAAGCTTTGGGAAATGAACAATATAAAGTATCAGCCCTTTTATACAGATCACATTTTATTTTAAAATGTTCATAAAAGTTGTATGTTAAATAATTTACACAATATAATAGAATTTATTTTCTGATAAGAAAACAAAGCTAGAAAAGTTGAGAGTTTCTGTTTTTACATTGAAAAGTAGTAATCGCTCAACAAAAAATTTTGTTGCTTAACTTCAGTAGACAAAAAATGCTTGAACTTATGTTTTGAGTATGGTATCTAGACTTGTAGCAGAGTGTCTCAGATGGATTTAGAGGGAGGGAAAAACACTGATATCCCTAAGTTTTTTTCATTTATTTTTGGACATCCATAACTACTATATGACTGTTTGGATGAGACAATGGATTTAAAAATAGGAATTGTCTTTATTTTTTGCTTTATAATCTTAAAATTCCAGGATTGTTAGCCAGCTAGGTGGAATAGTATATAGAGTATTAGAGTTCAGATCCTGAGGCAGGTACTTACTGGCTACACAGCTAGTGTGATCCTAGGATCCACTTAACCTCTCCCTCAATTTCCTCATCTGTAAAAATGGAGATAATAATAGCACTTACTTCCCAGGGGTGTTGCAAGGATCAAATTAACACATATAAAGTGCTTTACAAACCTTCATGCTATTTTATATTAATGCTAATTCTAAATAAACTTGTATAACCTACATTCTTTTCCAAAAATTCTACTGGTTCTTGAAAGTTTAGGGAATGAATTCTGTAAGATACAAAACATTGAGGATATAAAGTAATATAAAGCTGTGTCCCCTCGTTGTGTTTCTACAAACTAAAAAAAAAAAGCAAACATTATTCTGAATTTGCCTAAGTCAATCTTCATATAGTTCATGTACTAATTTATTTCCAGAAATTGTGCTTTTGATGTTGTCAATGAAATCATATTAAGTGCCTGAGTAATAGCATGACAATAGTGCTTGATTTTAGAGATCAGGGACCAGGTTTTGAATCTTGTTTCTGATATTTACTGGCTGTATACTGTATGGCTCATTCATAAGTCATTTCATTTATCTGAGTCTCAGTTTCCTCATCTATAAAATAGGAATAATAATACCTGTAATATGTACAAACATTTATAAAGTGCCTACTATGTGCCCGGTGCTATGCCAGGAGATGGAGATACAAAAGCAAAATGCGAGAAAATACAGAATATGCAAAATAGAGGTAAGGTAGTTAGGGAGGAAGGACTTTCACTGTTTGGGGATCAGGAAAGGCTTCACAAAAGTGATGCTTCAGCAGAATCTTGTAAGTATTATTTACATGAGATTTTAAGATGGTAAGATAATATGTGCAAAACATTATTTCATCTTAAATCAGAGGTGTCAGACTCATTGCCCATAAAACTTACAGCCTGGTTTAGATTAAAATGCAATTGGGAAATGTTTAACAAAATAAATAAAATATAATACAACATAGATAATATTAATTTGTAGTTTTCTAATTCACTATCTGGGACAGCTAGGTGGCACAGTGAATAGAGTGCTAGGCCTGAAGTCAGAAAGACTTCTCTTTCTGAGTGCAAATCCATCCTCAGATACTTACTAGCTGTGTGACCCTGGGCAAGTCACATAACCCTGTTTGCCTTAATTACTCCTCTGTAAATGAGCTAGAAAAGGAAATGGCAAACCAGTCCAGTGTCTTTGTCAAGAAAACCCCAAATGGGGTCATAAAGAGTCAGATATGACTGAAATAACTGAACAACAACAAAGTTACTATCTCCTCCTCCCTCCATTGTTTGTAATTGAGTTTGACTCTATTGTCTTAAGTTCTGTGTAAGCATTTTAAGGTTTGTAAAGCACTATGTGTGTGTGTGTGTGTGTGTGTGTGTGTGTGTGTGTGTGTGTGTGTACATATATATATACATATTACCACATTTAATCTTTACAACAGTTTGGTGAGGTAGACGCGATTATTATCCACACTTTACAAATGAGATACCTGAGCCTTAAAGAGGTGAAGTGACCCAGAGTTGCCCAAGTTATAAGAGTCTAAGATAGAATTTGAAGTTACATCTTCTTCACTCCAAATCCAATGCTTAATCTAGGCTTGGAGTCTTATTTGGGTCACTGGATAGATTTAGTGACTTGCCCAATATCACATCACTAGCATATGCCAGAGGCTGGACCATAGCTAACTGATTTCTAGGCTGGTTCTCTAACCAGTATGATGTGCTACTTTAGTACAACTCCCTAAAACTAAGTTAGGTTGTAGAGCTGTTGCTGGTCTTCATTGACACAGTGGGATTCCTCAGTGGGAGTTCCCTATACTAATGAAATCACAGGTCTAGATCTCTCAGCCCTAGTCCAAAAAAGGTACCAGGCAGTAGGGATTTAAACATAACTGTATACCTTCTCAGAATAATGGTTCTAAATGCTCAATTAGCTTACATTCTACTGGGAGGATATAACATGGAAGGATATAAATAAATAGAGAATCAATTTAAAATAAACACACAGAAAGATAGTGTGAATAAAGAGCTGACCTTAGAGGTAGGAAGATGTGACTTTAAATCTCACTGCCTGCAGATACTGGCTGCATGACCCTATGAAAGTTATTTTACCTACAAATACCCCAGGGAATTGAGACTGTCAACTGGAGAGAATGTGCAATAGGAAAGGAACATTGCCTACATCAATGAATTAATACATAAGTCCAATTTACAAAAAAAAAATAGGAAAAAGAAACATAAGGGGTAGGGGGAATAATTCTAGCAGCTACTGAAATCCTCTTGAAGGAAGTAGTACTTGTTGAGCCTTGAAGGTAGTAGGGTTTCAGAAAGGCGGAGTACATTCCTTGCATGAAGGATATCTTGTGCAGCAAAGGAATGGAGGCACAAGAGGAATATCATACATAGGAAACAGCAAGAAGCCCAAGAGACTAGATTTATAAACCTAAATATAAAATTTAATTAATTTATTTATATTAATTATTAATTTATATTAATTTTAATTTAAATTAAAGAAGTTGTGTTAATGGACAGTGGGGAGCCATAAAAATATCTTGAGCAGAGGGGTAACATGGTCAGACTTATATTTTAGGAATATTAATTTGGCAGTTGTGGATGATAGATTAGATAAGGAAGAGATTAGATTCAGAAAGATCAATTAAAAGACTGTTGCAACAGTCTGAAAAAAGTAATGAGAGTCTATGTTAGGGTGATCGGTTTGAACAGACAGGAATAGGAGCGATACTGAGGAGGTAGAATTGATAAGACTTGGCAGCTGATTAGTCAAGGGTAACTCCTAAGTTAGGAAACCTGGATGATTAGAAGAATAGTGGTGTTTTTTGACAGAAGTACAGAACTTGGGACGAGGGAAAATGTAAGTTCTGTTTTAGACGCTTTGAGATGCCTGTGGAATAAAGAGAGATGTCAAGCAGGCAGTGGGAGATTTAGTAGTGGAGCTCAGATGATAGATGAGGCTTGAGTATAATCTCTGTAGAGGTAATAGTTAAAGTAATGGGGGTTAGTGAAATTTCTAATAGCAAAAGTATATAGAGAGAAGAGTAGAAGTGCCAGGGCAGAACCCTCAAATGGAGGAAGTGCATGTATGATGCCCGCCAAAGTATCAATCTGACAGGGAGGAGTGTCATGAAAACTCAGAGAGTATTCAAAAGGAAATGAGGGATCAAGGAAATGGTAGGTCAAGAAGGATGAAGACTGAGTAAAGGCCATTGAATTTAGCACAAAAAAGCAATGATGATTTTAGAGAGAAAAATAAAGGAAATATAATTAAGCCTGGGTTTGAGAAGTGACTAGGAGGTGAATAAGTGCAGGCAATGTGGAGTTTGATTATAAAACAGAAAATTTGCATAGGATAATAGTTTGGAGGGATATTAAAGTCAAGCACAGCTCTTTAAAGGATGGAGATTTTGGCATGTTTTAAGGCTACAGGGAAGGAATCAGGGGAAGAAGAGGCATGAGGCATTAGAGGGAGATAACATGACAGAATGGGCAGTTTTCTGGAGAACCAGGAAGGAATGGATTCAAAGATACAGTTAGAAGGGTTACTACTGGCAAGAAGGACCCCGTTATCTTCTGAAACTAAAGGAAAAGAAAATAGATGATGCTGAGATGATTTGAAATGTGAAACTGTGACAGAGAGGGAATTTGCAGTGGATGGCCTCATTTTTTTTTTCAATCAAATATGAAGCAAGGTCCTTATTGAGTTGGTGGGGGGGTCATGATGAAGATGGTGCATATTGCTTGAGAAGGAGAAAGTTTATAATAATTTCATGGGGGAGTCAACCAGAAACAACAGATGCTATGCAACAGTGAGGACTTAATTGAGATTAGGTAACTTAAGTCTATAGTGGACCTAACAAGCCTTCATTTTGTCCAGTGGCCTTTAACACTCAAGTTGTTGCAAAGGTGAATGTTAGGAATAATCCATGAAGCTTCTGGATTCAAAAGGAATAGAATAGGACAAAAGATTCAAAGGTCTTAGGTCTTACTTAAGTTTCATATCACATTGGTCAGATATCTTCCTTATTATCCTATCACAGTGAAACTGAACCTTAGAATTTTAAGATAGTTATAGCCCCTTATAGTCAATCCAAACAT